TTTTTTTTCAATGTTTTCGGTCTTTTTTTCATTTGTTTAGCAAAAAAAAATCACCCTGTGGTGATTAAATACTACCAAAAGAAAGCTCTATTTGTGTGAAAAAAAAATGATAAAAATTCCATATGGGTACAGTGTTGCATGAGTAATTGTCATTCAAAGTGCAACAGCGCTGAAAGATGATAATTGGCCTGGGCAGGAAGGGGGTAAAAGTGCCCGCTAGGCAAGTGGTTAAATGAAATTTTTTTTGGCTTGATCAGTCATATTTTCAATATCAATGCCAAAATGCATGATGTATGACAGGGTATGCAAACTTTTGAGCACAGCTGTATATATGAAAATTATCATGAGATAAAATAGCAAATGGGGTTAAAATAACTTGTCTATCTTAGTAAATTGACTCTAAAGGCAGTATCACATAATCCACATACCATAATACCACATTGCACTGCAACAGCACATCATACTGTATCAGGTCATTACAGCAATTTATGTAAATCGCACTGTAATAGCAAATTCTATCAACTTTCGCCATTGCGGGTTAAATTATCCAGCAAGAATTTAGTCTAGAGTATCACATTTTATCACTCTGCAAGAACATAGACAACTTTAACTTATTCTTATTACTATCCAACAAATCATATTATGCTGCAAAAGTATTTTATATTAATTAACAACACTATCCAGCTACCTCCATCTCTTTATTATGAGCTCCTTTGATATTCAGTCACCACCAGTCCCCATAACGTAAGGTGCCTTCATATTGAGCTGCCATCAGACCCCTTCCCTCATGGCAAGCTCCCCTCAAATAATTCAGCAAATTTAGACCATTCCCCTAAGAAAGGCTTTTTGACATACTGACAATCAGCAGAGATTACCTGATAAAAGCTGGTATTTACACAGACTACCAATGTAAAAGGACATTTACACTAATCACCAATATAACAGGGGCAGTTACACTGTACACAATGCCCCTATTATAAAGGTAGTCATTGTCAATGGCTCTCATACATTGGTGGACATTTTAAATTCCCCTGTTACCTACAGTGTAAATGCATCAGTTTAATTGCAGGTCAGTTGTTAATTCCTCCATTACATTGCTAGCCAGTATAAATTCTGCTGTTACATTAGTGATAAGTACAAATTCGCCTATTACATTTGTGCTAATTGTAAACTGTCCTAATACATGCCACCCCCCTCTGCCTCTCCCTCCACTGGCTCCCTATCGCCCAACGCATCAAATTCAAACTACTCACTCTGACCTACAAAGCCATTCACAACACTGCCCCTAACTACCTCACCGACCTGATTCCCAAGTACCACCCTACCCGTACCCTTCGCTCTTCACAGGACCTCCTTCTATCTTGCTCCCTGGTCTCCTCCTCACACGCACGTCTGCAAGACTTCTCCAGGTCCTCCCCCATCCTCTGGAACTCACTACCCCAATCCATCAGACTGTCACCTTCCCTCCTCACCTTCAGGCGCTCCCTGAAAACCCACCTCTTCAGGGAAGCCTACCCCACCCTTACACCTAACTGCTGCTCTCCTTCATTCCTCCTACCACTCCATCCCCCACAGCCACTTCCTCCTGTACCACTACTACCCCCTCCCTCCCAGATTGTAAGCTCGAAAGAGTAGGGCCCTCTTACCCCTCGTGTGCTGTTCGTAGCTGCTGTAATGTTTCATGTATTGTCCCCCCCCCTCTATTGTACAGCGCTGAGCAAACCCTTTGGCGCTATATAAACTCAATGTAATGTAATGTAATGTAATACATTGGTAGTCAGTTTAAATTCCCTTGATTCATCAGTGGTCTATATACATTATTCTATCACACAGGAGATCAGTAATAATTTGCCCACTGCATTGGTAGTTGGCATAAATGCATACATTGTTGTTCAATGGTAGAAGGGCGTTGTTACATTAGTGGTCAGTGATGTGCCCCCAATCGTTGGTGCTTAGTGGGAGTATTATATTGGTGTCAGTGACTAAAGGGCCCCCACTTATTAATGTCAGTAAAAAAGGGTTCCTATCAATTGTAGTTAGTGTTTACTATTCTTGAAATAGGAGCTCCTTTTGGCATGCTGATGCCTGTACCCTTTGTGAGGGAAATGTGAAGGTTGCCATTAGGTTCTGGCCATAGACCCAGAACTACTTTAATTTATTAGAAGTACCCTGACCATCATTTTGCTACTGAGATTGTAGGACACAATGCAGGAAGAGGAAGGCCTTGCCTATAATGGGCCCCAGTACCTAAAAGGCCCCTGTGTGTCTGCACATGCTGTTCAGCTGTTATGTCTGTCACTGCCCACCTTCTTGTAAATACTGCTGCATATTGTCTTTGGTCTGTTTCACACAGGCTTCAGATTATATACGAGCAGTGTGAAGAACAAGCTTTGACAAAGCATTTACAGAGCTTTTAGCAAACTTTGTTGATGTTTTTAAAGTACCATTCAGCTGCAGTTTGTAAATGTTGAAAGCAGATTCTAATGGGAGTGCTGATTGCCACTTTAAACAAGCTGCTAGTAGGCTTCAGCACTTTTTGAAGTATGTTGAAAACCTGCAGAAGCCTGCTAGCAGCTTGCTTAATATTGCACTCCCATCAGGATCTGTGTTCAGCATTAACAAACTGGAATTAAATGGTACATTAACCTCCCTGGCTGTATGATTATTTCCAATTTTTGATGCTGAAAGCGGTACCATTTTTTTGCATGGAAATATGTAGTTTTTTATTGTAGGCTGTAATTTTTAGGAATAACTCACTGAAATCTGTCCGAACAAGAGTCTAGTAAACATTCCGGATATGATAAAACTTGAAACACAAAATCATAAATTATAATTTAATTAATAATCATAAAAATAATAATAATATAATAATAATAAATTTATTTCAATAATATAATCAAACCAAAAACACTGAAATTTGAAATACAGAGGCAAATTCGCACATTGCTGAGCAAAGTCGCAAAATCGTTTTCAGTGTCTGATGACGATTTCCCCACGAATCATTATCACTCAATTCTGCAAGTGGTTCTAATTTACTATCGCTGTTCTCTAGCTGGTCTAAAACCGCTTTTGACATAAAGGGACGCTTTTTGGACGCCATGGACTTTTCTAAGTTTCCAGGCAGAAAGAACAGTCAAAATGTAGGCGGGGCACAGGACAAAGCAGTAGGGACAAAATATATGTGAAATGCATTGATACAGTAATGTTTTACTATAAAATAATCATTTTTTAAAAAATGACTTTTTTAAAAATTTCAAATTTGCCGCGGGTTCCGGCGCCCGTACGTCCCGACATCACAGGGACCGGAACACGGAAGCCGGCTGGCAGCATCGGCTGGAGGAGATGGCCGGGGACACTGCAGGGGACACATCGTGGGAGCGAAGGACAAGGTAAGTGCTGCAGAGACTCCCTGAGCAACGCCGCATGGTAAGCCCGAGTGTAGCTCAGGGTTACCGCTTTTGGTACTGACATTTTACCCCGAGCTACACTCGGGAATACCGCTAAGGAGGTTAAAGCTATAGTAAACTCTTGGGTTAGAAAATAAAATGTCTTCCTGCAAGTTAAAGACATAATGTGCTAGTATGCATTGCATACTAGCATAATATTAAAGACCTACCTAAAACGAAGCCCTCGAATGGCGTGCTGTCACCACTGACAGGTCTTCCACCTTCACCCTGTCTTCCTTACGGGTTCGTGGGCTCTGGCCATTTAAGTGGCCACCCCGTGATGATGTCACTCCCATGCATGCACATGGGAATCAAGGCCGTGGAACAGGGCTCGGAAGAGATGGCATGAGCATGCTGTCAATTCAGAGCGCATGCACTGGGAACATCACCGGCTGCAGAAACAGCTGTTTAAAAGCTTCAACAAAGTTTGCTGAAAGCTTTGCTAATGCTTTGTCAAAGCATACTGTTCACACTTCTGTTATACAATCTGAAGCCTGTGTGAAGCAGGCCTTCCAGTGCAAATAACCTCAAAACTAGACCTACTCATTTCTAACCACAAATAGACCACATCCTTGATAACATTTATCTTAACTATATTAAACCTTTCCACAAAGCGAGATGCCAACTACTTTCAACTAATATCATCATGCATGCGTATGACAAGTCGAGGGACAACCAGCCTTAGAAAATCAAACATAATCAGAAGATTAAGTCCAACATGAATCATGAGCCATTCGTGTGGTTTTCTTTACAGGAAGAAATAGTCGACAACAGGGGCGGACTGACAACTCATGGGGCCCCCGGGCAATAGGGGATCATGGGGCCCCTGTGTCCTTGCCCAAACTCAAAAAAGCTAATGAAAAAGGTATCAGGGGCATCTCATTGGGCCCCCTACTGACCCGGGCCCTGGGCAGTGCCCGAGTTTCCAAATGGTCAGTCAGCCCCTGGCCAACAATTTTTCATGTGTTGGCTTTGCATACAAAACAAAATAGGTAGCCTGAGTAATCTGCAATTAAATTCACTGACAGTGTGAACTAGTGTTACACTGAGTGGTAGTGAGAGGAGCAGAAATTACACTGAGTGGCCTCCATCTTCCACCCAACTAAGAAATAACTGATGCTGAAGTCCCTACTGAACCTATCTTCCCTTCTGCTTCTCTTGCTGCCTCCCGCCCGCCATTTAGTAATATGATGGATGCAAGGTGGTTCTCTCGTTCTGGGAGGACGTCATATGATGTCCTTCCATTCTCACTGTGCATGCGCGCCTCCCAGAGCGCACAGCATGGCGATGGGCGGTGTGCTGTGTCCCTCGGACACAGCGAATCACCGATCCATGGAAAGAGCCGAAGATGTCGGCTCGGTCAGGTGATCAGCTGTGTCCAATCACAGCTGATCACATGTAAACAGGGAAATGACGGTTATCGGCATTTCTCTCCCCACGAGCTGTCAGCATGAGAGAGGAGGAGGAGAGGAGCCGGTAATCGGCATTCCTCGGAGGGGACATGTACACAGATCATCAGGGCACTGATGATTAGTGTGCCCTGATTATTTGTGTAGCCCCAGCAGTGCCACCTGTCAGTGTCCATCTGTGCCAGCTCTCAGTGCTCATCCATGGCACCTGTCAGTGCCCATCAGTGCCACATTTCAGTGCCCATCAGTGCCCCATATTAGTGCCCATCTGAGCTGCCTTTCAGTGTCACCCATCAGTGCCAGTCAATGCCACCTATCAATGCCAGTCAGTGCCACCTATCAGTGCTGCCAATCAGTGCCACTTATCAGTGCCAGTCAGTGCCGCCTATCAGTGCGCATCAGTGCTGCCTATCAGTGCCCGTCAGTGCTGCCTATCAGTACCACCTACCAGTGCCAGTCAGTGCCGCCCATCAATGCCAGTCAGTGCCACCTATCAGTGCCATATATGAGTGCTGCATTTCAGTGCCCATCAGTGATGCCTGTCAATGCCCATCAGTGCCACCTACCAGTGCCTCCTCATCAGTGCCCATCAGTGCCACCTGTGTCCATCAGTGCAGCCTATCAGTGCCCATCACTGCAGCCTCATAAGCGCACATCAGTGAAGGAGAAAAATCACGTATTTACAAAATTTTATAACAAAAACTAAGAAAAAACTTTTTTTTCAAAATTTTCAGTGGTTTTTGGTTTGTTTAAGAAAAAATAAAAAACCCAGAGGTGATTAAATACCACCAAAATAAAGCTCTATCTGTCCCAAAAAAATGTTAAAAATTTCATATGGGTACAGTGTTGCATGACCGCGCAATTGTCATTCAAAGTGCAACAGCACTGAAAGCTGGAAATTGGCCTGGGCAGGAAGGGGGTATAAATGCCCTGGAGGCTAGTGGCTATAGAAAGCATGAAATGACTGTATGCTCTGACAGAGCGCCGTGTGCTTAGATTTTTATATTTGGGTATGCCCATGTACTTTATCTTGTTAATTGACTGTTCAGGATGGCAGGAGATCTGTTTCCAGAAAGGGTTGCTAAGGATAATGTGACCATTACAGCAAATTGGTGCAATTTGAGCTATTAACTGCAAAGGGAATGAGAGGAATCTGGCTTTGGGGTGTCAATACAGCAAGAATAAGCTGATGAAGCATAAGAAATATTAAGAGTTTTTTTCCAGCGTGTACTATCCAGTTAAAATACATGTCCAATGAAATATGAATTTCCTGATCTATCTTTTTAATGATCCCTTAAATGGACTATACCATAACTCAATGCATTTATCAGGGATTGCATATAAAGACTGAAGCAGGCAGTGTTCATGGGTATGCATAGTGTGGGGCTAAATTAAACACTATATAGCAGAACCTTTTGTTTGTCTATTCAGAAGTCTCTATACCAGAACGTGCCAATCAGAAAATATACGTGGTATATGCGGTATACGTCTCATGCTGCCCCCTGACTGGTGGGACATTCTGCAAGACAATTTGCACAAGAAAGATAATAATATCGGCATGCAAACTGGGGTACAATAGAATACAGCTAGGGGCGGACTGACCATTCGAGCACTCGGGCACTGTCCGAGGGCCCGGGGTCAGTAGGGGGCCCCATGAAATGCCCCTGAGACCTTTTTTATAGGCTTTTTTGAATGTGGGCAAGGACACAGGGGCCCCATGATCCCCTACTGCCCAGGGGCCCCATGAGTTGTCAGTCCGCCCCTGAATACAGCCTTAGAGAAAATGAATATTTAAGCTTGGTTCACACTATGCTGGCTGGCTGTGGGTGCCGGAATCGCATCTGTTCCCCCACCTGCAACCATCCACAGCTGAATTGCATTGCTCTGAGAAGACTCCCACACATCTCAGCCCGCAGCACAATTGTGGGTGCGGGAATGGCAGGAAAAAAGACATTGCGGTTTCTCTGCGGCCGTGTAATCAAAAAAGGTCCATGCACCTTTTTGTGCAGGAAACGCTGGCACAGCAGCCAATCTAAATGAATGGGCTGCTGTGCCCAAGCAAACGGCCACATTGCCCGCAGTAGTGTGAACCGAGCCTTAGATTAACACTCTGGACTTGCTGATACGATGCAGAGCATACAAACTTTGCAGTTTATGAATATCTTGTTTACAAAACAAGATTAACAGTAATAAATCATAATGAAGCCTATGAGTGTTTTTTACTGAATATACATAAATTGCAGCCTCATCAACCCTTCAGTATTTATTTCACTGAAAAGATGTTTAAGCTTCCGCAGTACACAGTGCTACTTTACTAGCATGCTTCATGATTCTAGCTCATCGAATTACACAGATGCAGCCACACATGAAGGAAAACCACAAGTCTTGAAAAAGCTATCTACACCATCAAGGTAAAAGATATTTTATCTCAGGAGGAAACAGTTATTTAAAGTTACAGCATAATGACATAAAGGGAGTTGATTTTGTTTTAGAAAGGGATGGTAAAACTATGATTTTAATGTACCGAGTTAACGTTTAAATGTTGTGAATAATCAGAACCAAGAAATGCTTGCACATCCTTTTTTTTTATTTGAGAGGAGCTCACATACTCAGAGTTCCCACATCTTGATGTTCCTTTTGAAGTCCGTGGTAACACCCTCTGGCACTAAAAGTCCCATCAAAATCAAATCAAAGTAGTGCAGCAACCTTTTTAAAGTTGCAGCAACTTTACAAAGGATCCTGCACTAATTTGATGTGACTTGAGTGCCAGAGAATATAAAGTCACATTAAAGTCGCAACAAAGCCACACAATACATTTTGTCCTATTGGCCAAAAAAAAAAAAAAAAAAACTCTAAATATTGTGTTTTTTGGTGCAGTTCTATTGAAATCTATTGCATCAAAAACAATCTGCTGTGAGAAAAAAATCCCTGACTCTATTCAAAAAATTGCAGCTGCTGAAAATGCATAGATGTTAATGTGTCCCATTGGAAACCATGTTAAATGGACTGTAGTGCATTTCTGCAAAATGCACTAAAAAAACGCATAGGTGTGAACCAGGCCTTAGGCTGCATTAGTCTAGTTTTCTCAGGACAAAGTATAGCTTAAAGTGTTACTAAAACCCACAACAGTAAAATTAGTCTTTATGCAGTAAAGAATGCTTGATATACTCACTGTGGAACCTAAGGGGTTAATCCTCAGCATTATGTAAAAAAGCTGTTTGATCCTGACTTCTCTGATCCTCCTCTTCTTCCAGTGTCCCTCTCTTATCTCCTGATAAGATATATGGTGTGGAGATACTCTGCACATGCTCAGTTTGATGTGTATTGCTAGAGATGCTTTTTTTTTTTTGCTTGGGAGTGCATGTGATCAGCACAGGGCCAATCTGCATTGTCCAGACAGAGGTCAGGGGTTCTGCATGCTCCTAGAGCAGAATGAAAACTCCTCCTACAAGCTGTAACCAGTGCTCTGCTGGACACTGATAAAAGTCACAAGACTGCTCTAATTGCTGATGAGATAAGGTATTCAGCAGTTTATAATTACTAAAATAATTGCACTTCATGTTCTGTGTACTGTGGGAGATCGGATATAGTAAATGTAGGGTCCTGAGTTTAGTAACACTAAGTAACTTGTGTTTTGCCCTTTCACTTTACTGGTGTCCCTACCAGCTACTAAACCTACCTTCCTCTCTTCCCCAAAGGAAGGTACATATGTGCAGTTTGTAGAGTCCCCCAATAAATTGCACCTTTTACTTTTTCTACATGGTCATAGACCAAGTTCACTTTAAGTCGGGCATATCAAATTCAAGTCTAAGTTTGGTCCATAAGGCTCCATTCACACTAGTGCGATTTCAAATGTGACATGAGTCTCACAGAATCACATGACAATGGAAATCATATTGTTTTCAATGCTACTCAGCCTTGTACTACTTTGGTGCAATTCCAGCGTGATTTTGGCCACATAGAATATACAGTACAAACCTTAGCCAAGTTGTATCAAAGTTGCATCCAAGTTGCTCTAGATAATTGCACTAAAGTTTGGATCATAATCGGATCGCACAGTAGAGTGAACCTAGCCTAAGGCAAACACACCTTGATTCATCTTCATTCATTGGGCAACGCTACAGAAATTAAAACGTTGTTCATTAGAAATATTACATTTATTACATTATAAAGTAAGAGTAAATAGCCAATCGTAACCTATGTAATTTGCAGGATATAAATGGTAAATGGAAGTATTTTCTTAAATGGAATTAAAAACTGAAAGTGATCCAAGAGAGAGGCTTCTGAAGTGTACTTTACTAAGGCTTTTTACCCACTTCCTCTGTACCAGCTTCAGTGCCTACCATCTTTAGATAGTCTTGCAGCTATTCTAGCTTCTTTCTACCTACCTACCACTTACAGACAGTTTCTGTGGTGTTCTAGCATCTTCTTGCCCAACCACAACCTAAAGCTCTAGATTTTTCCTAACCCATCACCACCTGCAGGGAAGTAGCCCCTGTGCCTGTCACTCCATAGCTAGAGCTGCTCTGTGTTTTCTGCTCACTCCCTAATTTCAGTGCAGATACATTTTCCTGGACACTTTAACTACTTCCCATCCAGCCCATTGTATATAAACGGTTGGACGGGAGTGCTGCTGAAGCTGGTGGACGTTTCTAAATGTCCCCCCACATCCACTGCCTGTGCGCGCTCCCTGGGAGCGTGCGGCACCGCGATCAGTGCCCGCTGTGTTCGGAGACACAGATCACTGTATGGGATCTCTGTGTGAGGTCCTGATTTAGGTGATCACTGATTGGCCAATCAGTGACCACATAAATAGTAGTAAACAAGATGTCACTTCCTGACATCATTGCTTACTACTTGTGAAATCTGTGAATGATCACAGAGGTCACATGGTAAAAGGCTATTCACAACAGCCTTGTACCATGTGACAAGCTGTGACCAATCACAGCTCTCAAAGTATTTCTTAATGGCTGCAGGAATGCAGCCAGAGAGAAAGAAAAATTATTGCTTTTACAGCCCTTATGGGTGTAAAAGCAATCAGTATAAAAAAAAAGAAAAAAAATTAAATCACCCCCCACAAGTAGCACAGTGTCACTATGGTGACACTGTACTGCTAGGGTGACAGTATGTTAAATAAAAACCCACAAATAATAATATAAAAAAATAAAGTAAAAATGTAAAAAACATTTTTTTTTAAATTATAATTTTTGGTTATAAACTAATTTTGGTTATTTGTTTTTTACTAAAAAGATAGATGAATACATTTTGGCCAAGATTTATGAAGAAAGATTATTTAGTTGCAAAATATTATAGGAAAACACTTTTTTTCAAAATGTTTGGACTTTTTCATTACTATAGCAAATAAATAAAAATCCCAGTGGTGAATAAATACCACTAAAATAAAGTTTTATCTGTCTCAAAAAAATGCAAAAAAAAAAAAAAAATCATATGGGTACAGTGTTGCATGACCGCGCAATTGTCATTCAAAGTGTGATAGCACTGAAAGCTGAAAATTGGCCTGAACTAGAAGGGGGTGAAAGTGACCAGACTTGAAGTGGTTAAGGAAGACCTTAAGTAGGCCACACAGATATATTTATGTAGCGCTTACCCCGTAAGGGCCACTGTTTTCTTGGGTCACCTGTTCCCAGAATCCATGACTCTGTAAGCAGCACCTTGCTCTCTGTCACACCTGGGGAAGGGATATTTATTGCAAGAATATATACAATGTTACAATAACCAAAGAAATGGTAATCTCCAATAAACACTTCAAGCAAGTGAAATGGTTGTAAATGAATGTGTACAATTGGTAATAAACAAACAGACCAGTGAATGATCCTTATTCCCTATACTGGGAAGGTCCTGCCTAGGGGTTGATGCTAGGACTATGGTCCAGCAGTTTTTGTCAAACCCTTTCCTACTGGCCAGGGCATTGAGATCCAAATCTGGTGTTCGAGTGCTCACAATCAAGTCCCTTTGAACCCGGGTGTGGGTGTCTGAACTGTGTCCCCAACAAGCAAAACTGTTCCTTTCTGCATGGTGTGGTAGGGTATGGCCAGCAGCCTTTTACCAACTCCTAGGGTGATAACCTGTCTTGTTCTACTCTCTGTTTGGGGCTCAGCAATGTTAGCCTCTCCATGATCAGATGGTGACAACAAGCTTGACAGTGGTATTCCCACAAACCAGGAGATATTTGTTACTCACACAAAAGACTCAACAGTAGCCAGCTACACAGTGTGCGCATGTGCTCCACCACATTCTCTCTGAGATTGTCCCTAGCCCAGGAACAGTCCTGTCTTTTTCTTTCTCAGGAGCCCTAGTAATGCTAGGATTTGTAATTCCAGGATCAGTCTGAAGTCCATGTTAAGTCTCTCTGAGGACTACATTTCCCACAAGTCAAAGTTCCTTTCAGCAGGCTCTGTGCTTCCCACAATCCACAGCAGCTTAGCTTCCTCTTCATCTGTTTATCCTGAGTGGTGGGTGAGGCTTTCCTCCAGCTCTTTGTGGCTGCATGCAATCCTGCATACATATCAGCTCATCCAAAATGGCCACCCCCACGGTTAAAGACACTGCATAGTGAAACATTGTTCATGGTCTTCCCCAAAATGTTGTTGTAGTCTATTTTTTTTTCATCAATACATTTTTATTGAGGTTTGAAGGCAAAGTCAAAACAGTACACTTTACAATGATACAATTATACTTGGCAGAGTTCTCAGTTACAATATGCATCCAGTTGTTCCCAACATTCAACAATACCAAGCAGCATAGATAAGTGTTCACAGCTTATCTGGTAAACCTTTTTTCAATATGTGTGATAATCTTGTTAAACTGATATATAGTTTCATGCAGAACCAACAGTTAGCAATAACATCAGTACAACTGGAAACATATATATGTTTGATTTGTAGCATATTGGTCATTTCCTTGGCCCGCTTAAGAGGGCTCATAGTACAATCTATGATTCTAGTAGCATATGATCAGCCATTCCATAGAATAGCTGCTAAAGATTAACTATGAATTACCGGAAATCATTTACCAATCCAATTAAATTAGAAAACCGTTCCTTGAGAAACCAACAAATAATGAAAGAAGAAAGCATAGAAAAAGGAAAAAGAAAAGTAGGAAGAAAAAAAGGAAGAAGAAGATTGCTGTAGCAGGAAACTCAGTGAATTGGTATGCTCACTCTCAAAAATTAGACATTAATAGTAGCTGAGTCGACGCTAAGAACGTAGACCGCGCCTAGGTAGTGGTAGTTCATTGAGTCTCCCTGTCAGTGTAAAACTGTCTGCCCATACAAGGTGCGAGTAGACAGCTTACGCTGACAGTCTGCTGGAGTCCTGCATGGCACCAGAGATCTGCAATGGAGCAATGCTTTCCAGGCTCCAAAAACAAAAAAAATAGCAAATACACATTTTTTTACCTGCAAAGTGAACTTATTCTTTATTAAGACCTATCATACTCACACATGCATATATTCATATATTCATACATATTACATACACACTACAGGCAGCACAGTGGCTAAATGGTTAGCACTTCCACCTGGCAGTACTAGGGTCGTTGGTTCAAGTCCCAACCACGGCACCACCTGCCTGGAGTTTGCATGTTCTCTCTGTGTCTGCATGGGTTTCCTCCCACAATCCAAAGACATGCCATTAGGTTAATTGGATCCTGACTAAATTTCCCCTAGTATGTATGAATGTAAGTTAGGGACTTAAGATTTTACCCCGTTAGGGACTTCTAAGCACTGCATCAACCCTGTAGGCAGCACAATTTTTGATTGTTGGAAAAGAGAAGGGCTTCTGCTATGGTTTTCAATAATTTAGCATCATACTACTTGGCTCAATACATGTTTTAGCAGCCAGGGACCTAGTGCAGAGTCGTCAGCGCACTTTAGGTTTTCTAAGTATTCCTAAACATTTAAAGGGTATCTAAGGCAATTTTTTTGTTTTGGGTAGAGTAAGGAATGGGTATGGAGATTATTCAAATGTGATACAACATGGATTAAGAACAATATGAATAATGTCAGATGCCAGCAAGGCAAATGACGTGTGTATATGTAACTTTTATACGTATAATTCCATGCTGGAGACAGGCACGGGTTAAATGTTAAATGACACTGTTAAAAAAAATAAGTCATATAGGGGTTTATTTACTAAAGCTGGAGAGTCCAAAATCAGACTCCCTTCTGCATAGAAACCAATCCGCTTCCAGGTTTCATTGCCAAAGCTTCATTGAACAACTGAGGTTAGAAGCTGATTGGTTTCTATGCAGAAGGGAGTCTGATTTTGGACTCTCCAGCTTTAGTAAATAAACCCCATAATGTCCATAGACATAATAAAGTCTTTAAAAAGTCACTGAGACACTGGGTGTCAGATAGCGGCAGCCATCCCATAGAGCAAAGCCAACTCTACATACAAAGACAAAAAAGAGAAAAACAGCAGGCGCCAGCTAAGTGCAGTAATTGGATGCTGTATTTAATATTATAGGATTAAAAACACTCACAAGAGGCAAGAAAATGACAAGCTTATCT